GGAAGAGCGCGCTCCCCGGGTCCCCCGCGCCCGCAGCCGGCCCGGCCCCGCGCAGCAGCAGCGCCTCGGCCGCCGCGTTGGGCGGCAGTAGCGGCTGACGCTTGAAGCGCTTGCGGCGCCGCAGGAAGCTGCCGTTGTCGAACATATCTGCGGACTCGGGGTCGAGCGTCCAGTAGTTGCCCTTGCCCGGGTTGCCGGGCTCGCGGGGGATCTTGACGAAGCAGTCGTTGAGCGAAAGGTTGTGGCGGATGCTGTTCTGCCAGGCGGGGAACTTCTCCCGGTAGTAGGGGAAGCGGCCGCTGATGAACTCGCAGATCTCGCTGAGCGTCAGGCGCTTCTTGGGACTCTGCAGGATGGCCATGGTGATGAGCGCGATGTAGGAGTAGGGCGGCTTCACCAGCGGGTTCTTGGCGCCGCCGCCCGCGCCGCCGCCGCCGCCGCCGCCCGCGCCCGTCCCGCTGCAGCCGCTCGCGCCGGTCCCCGCCGCGGGCGCGGGACCCGGGGGCGCCGGGGATGTCGGGGCGCGCGGGGCCAGCAGGAGGTCATCGTCCTCGTCGTCCTCCTCCAGGTCCTCCAGCTCGTCCTCCCCGGCGTACGAGCGCCGCCGCCGCCGCGGAGGGGGACCCGCCAGCCGGGGCCCGTCTTCGTCGTCGTCGTCGTCGTCGTCGTCCTCGCCCTCCCCCACCACGTCGATGTCTGTCTCCTCCGCGAGGCCGGAGGCATCGGACATCTCCGTGCTCAGGGTCATAGCTGTGGCGGCGAGGCGGCGGGCGGGCGCATAGGGGCGCGGGACTCCCGACTTCCTCGGCCCCCCAGGCCGGGTCCCGAGGGGCGGGCCGGGTGCGGGGACGCCAAGCTGAGTACGCGCGGCTGCGGGAGCTGCGGAGGCGGGCGCCTGGACTTCGCAACTCCTCGGCCGCGCGGCGAGTGCGATCCCCTGGGCGCCGAGTGCACCCGGCCCGGGAGCAGGACTTGACCTTCGGGTCTGTGCTCGCCTCTGGCAGGGGGTGGCTGGACCCGGGTGGGCGACTGCGCGTCGGGCGCCCAGGAGGGCCCGGGGCGGGGGAGAGGGGAAACACCGAGCCCGGCGAGGCCAGGGCTGAGTCCAGAAGAGGGCGGATCTTGCCTGGGCTTATAGCAGAAGGGGGCCTGTCACATGGTGCGCACGTCAGAGCGCTGCCGAGGGAAGCGAAAGAAAGCCTCGGAAATCAGCGCTGCGGGGAGAGAAAGTTCACCCGCAGGAGGGGCAGCCGGAGAGAAGAGCAGAGGGGAGACAGGACCCGGCTATTTCCTGCCAAAGTCTTCAGTATCCCGTTACTCTCTGGCCAGCCCTGGTGTGGACCTGGGCATGAGTTCGAGCTCGAAGCCGGCCTCTCCTGAATTAGCCCGCTGTGGTAGCCTCAGACCGCGCCCCAGTGGCCTTAGGGTTGGACCCCTCCTCCGCCTGTAGGAGCCACCCGGCTGAGGGACAACCACTGTGTACAAAGTGGCCCCTTGAATCTTGGGGGGATGGTGTGGTGTCCCCGGCTCCCCGGGATTGGACTAGCCGCCGCCCGAGGAATCTGATGAGAAATCCCCCAGTTTAAGCGCGGTAATAATTGTTTATTGACCCTTTAACCCTTTCCCTTCGGTTCTTCTCCAAAGACGTTTGTTTTCCGCCATCTGTTAATAAAAATGCGTTTAGGCTGGCGTTTTAGTCATTTATCTGCAATTGAATGCCCTAGAGACTTGACAGCTAAACTAAGCCACTCTAATGAGAGGATCTCGCAAATTCTCTGGGAATAAAGGAAATAGTGGTTGAATGTGGAAAATAAATAGGGAATTTTAGTGAAAACTCAAATACACACGCACACACCTAGGAGCGATTCAAACAAGTGTTTTCATCTTGGGGAAAGGAATTATATAGTTTTCAGTAAAGAAACTGATTACATTCTAATCAGCACGTCACAGTAATCTCAAAATACTTGAATTGTTATAACATGCGTGTGTTGCTGTCTGGCAGGATTACTGGTAGAAAGAAAGACGAACTTTAAGATCAACTTCTTAAAGTATATTTTTGGAAAATACACTGGCTATTTCCTATGTCCTTTGTGAAAAGAAACGAATTTTTTACGTAGGATTTCTTGTATAGAAACAAATTCCACTCAACTCATTTTTCTTTCAGGTGACAAGATAGTGGAATAATTGAAATTAGATTTTACTTTAAGGACACTCGCCTTTATCACCAAGTAAATTCAGTATTTTGGCTGGTGGAAAGCCCTGTTAGTTGTGGAATTCACATTCATTCCATAGACATGCTTTCTGGGTTTTGGCATTTCCTAAAATGCCTCTATTTCAAAGAGGGACTTTACCTCAGAAGTTTAACTTTCTGATCAAAATGGCCATTTGTCAAGAACTGAGTCAAAATTCAATGGCTTTCTCCAGGAACGAGGCTCAAACGCCCTTGTGTGTGTGTGTGTCGCTTGATCAGCCAAGTACTTCTTTCTGAACCGAAATCTTCCAGTTAAAAATCAGGTTTTTGTTCCCAAGGTTGGTTACTACCAGTTACACTTACAAATGACCCATAAAGTCTATTAGAGATCTTTGAAAGATCTATGAGAATGCCCCAGCCGTCTAAATATGTTATTTTTCATTGCCTCCCCTTTGATATATGGCTGAACCATTTAATTATTGTAATGGGCTCCGATTAACTTGCACCAACATTAATCAACACTGCTAATCAGGCATCGCGGTGCTTTGTTGATGTAGACAGGCGTCCTTACTAAGGAGTTCACTTTTACATCGCAAAGTTTAACTTTTGTGTAAGTACCCAGTCCGTATCTAAATAAACACCATGATCTACGCAGCGCCGGGAGTTGCTATGTGGCAACCTTATTTAAAGATGAAATACAGGAAGAATTGTTCTCAGGCCATTAATAACTTTAGAAGATAAGTTACAGCAGTCCAGTTCAGGATTTGCAAAGTCCTGGATTTTGTTAACTTTGCTGTCCCTAGGTCTGTCCCCAGAGGGTTAAGGACTCGTCCCTGGAAACGTTTTGTAAAACGTTGCAAATTACCTTTTGGGCACTCAAGGGGAAATACCGGAGTTCCGTTAGGGTCGCAGCAGGCCAACGCAGAGGAATCTCTGTAGGGACCAGAATCTTAAGCCAAGATGTGGGAGAACCTCACTAGAGCCCCACATTTGGGCGGTTCACCTGTTCCCTTTGCTGTAGTTAAGGTGCCCATTTGCCTGCTCTTTGAGCTCTTCCATCCTGAAATTCCTGAGCCTGGAAACCCAGTTCAACACACACACACACACACACACACACACACACACACACACACACACACACGCACACGCACGCTTGATCTCCTCTCCCTGGCTTTCACCAAGGTTAGGGAATCTCTATCTCTCCTCACCTCCTCCACCTGGTACTGGAGATAGAAATCGTTCCCAGAAATGGACAGGACAGAGCCTCAGAGTCAACCCCCTCGCCCCCCGCACCTCCATGTGCCATGCGTGAGTGGACCAGGAAAGTGTCAGGTCGAGGTCGCTAGGGTGTGGGAGCAAGGCAGAGCTGCCCCCTGGCGGGGGTGTGGCGCCTTGCTGCCCTGTGCTCAGAAACTCGGAAAGGAGGGCAGCCAACGCTAGGCCTGGGAGTCTCTCGCTCGGTCTGGCCTTAAGGGCAGAGATTGTGCCCACACACAGGCGTTTGTTAGCAAGTTTCTGGTTTTTATCCCCACACGCTTTGTGCCTGAGTATTGAGGTCACCGGGGATTTCGCCCAGCTGGGACCAACAAGGCAGCTTGGCCTTTGGGAAGATCTGCCTCAATCCTTTGCCTTTGGGGCTTCTCCACTAGCCCAGGGGCTCCTTTGTAAACTCAAGAAGCAAGAACATGGAAACATGGATTACTCCTTAGTTAACTCGTGAGCCTGAACATACTCATTCTTATTCTGCCCCACCCCCACCCCCGATACTTGGGACAGTGCCCCTCCTTCAAAGAGTCATTTGTGTAGTTTTGCGTTAAAATGCTTTGTGAGGCGGACAGGATAGCGCATGTCTTTAATCCCAAGCAGAGGCAGGCAGATCTCTGAGTTTGAGGCCAGCCTGGTCTTCATAGGGAGTTCCAGGCTAGCTAGGGCTACATAATGAGACCCTATCTAAAAATTAAAAAAAAATTTTTCTAAGGGGAGACCAGCTTACTGTCTATTACGCTTTAAAAAAAATTTATTATTTTTATTTTATGTGTATGCGTGTATTGCCTATGTGTAGGTAAGTGCACCCGTGTCGTGCAATGCCCACGGAGAACAGAAGAGGTTGTCAAATCCCTTGGAACTGGAACTACAGACAGTTGTTAGCTGCCATGTGGGTTCTGGGATTCAAACCCAGGTCTTCTGCAAGAACAACCAGTGTTCTTAACCACTGAGCTATCTCACCAGACCCTAAAAATAAAAATAAAAAAATTTAAAAAGATACTGCTTGGTGCCTGTCACTCTCACACTCTTTTGGGTAGCCAAGTAGATAGGAAATCAAGGTGTGGGGTGCCCTAGTCTCTCCTATTGCTTTCATAGATAAACTTTACTACTGTGACCATTTTAAGTGTTCTGTAAGTGTACAGTTCTGGAGGCATTAACATTGCTATGTATTACATTGTTATGTAACCATCACCCTCTCCATTTCCAGAATGTTTTTATCAGCTCCAACTGAAATTCTGTACCCAATAAAAAAATAACTCTCCATCACCTCCCCCCCCCCATACACACACTGGCCCTTGGCAAACACAGTTCTACTTTCTGTCTGTACAAATGTGGATACTCTTAGGCACATCACAGAAGTGGAATAATACATATTGATCCTTTGTGGCTTATTTCATCCAGCTTAATGTCTTCAAGGCTCATTTATCAGGATTTCTTTTCATTTATTAGGATTTCTTTTTAAGGCTTAGTAATATTCCACTGTACACATATACCATGTTTTATCAACTCCTCTGTTGATGGATATTGGAGTTGTTTCCTTCTTGTTGTTCACTTCTCTAACCTTCACTCAGCTCTTTGTAAGATTCTGTGTGTAGTAGACATCCAATAAATGGATGACATTTATTGATGAATTGACATTCATTTCCCTATGGTTTCTTCACCTCTGAAATTCTCAAAGGATTCCATTATCCTAACAGAGTCCACACACATGGTTTCTGCTTTATATGCGCCATGAGTTCTCCTCCTTCTGGACTGAAAGCTCAGCTGATTCATAATTTTGAGACCTGAAAATTTAGACTGTTCATATCATCTTCAGTAAAAAGTAAGCTTGAGTCAAGATTCCTCCAGAGTCAGTGTAAGGCAATGTATGGGCATTTCCACCTATATCTCATGCCTTTTATGCCCTCTTTATGCTTTCTTGTCTGTCCTAATCCTTAGAGGCTCAATATGGCCCTAATTTTTTCCTGTCACTGTCTAGGGCCTCCCTCTTCTCATTTTCCTAAGGTATAATGGCACACCTACCACTAAGCTAATCTCAAGCCATGACAGCTGTTGGAGTGGGTACCTCCAAGTGCTGGCTCAGCAGATGGTCTGAGAGCTGTTACCAGCAGTGGTGTCCCAGGTCCAGTAGCCTCTGCCAGGACTGGGTGAATGGGACTCCATCCACCTACAACAGCTTCTTCAGGGCTGCTTAGGAATCTGAAAGTAAGTTCAAGGCCAGGTTCTACTTGATGACTTGTTGGTATCTCTTCCACAAGAAGGTACATTTTAACCTGGAGAATTCCATTGGCACAGTGCTTTAAGCTGGTTGTTAATGACTAGGTGACTAGGTGGGGGAGGGGTGAGGTTTCTTTGCAAAGAAGA